GCTACAGGGTGCATGTGCTCACCAGAAAGATAGAGAGAGACAAAGAGACAGAAAGCAAGAAATCACCCCCCAGGGGGGATGGCCATGCCACAATCCCCTCTCCTTCATTCTCCTCTCAGGATTTTGGGCATGCACGCACACGTGCCCAACGTGAGTTTAGGCTGCCGGGTTCAGGACTCAAACTGCGGTCGACTGCATGGTAGTCCAGCAACATAGCCATTACGCTAACTGCTGGTCCCTGCCTCCCCACCCCCACCCCCCCCGTTTTCTTTCGTCCCCTATTCTTGCCATCATAGGTACCTGCTGTCATCTGGGAGTTTTCTTTTCTTTGGATCAGCTTATTATGTATAGAATACAAACATGTATTATTCGGATGGCAGGCCATGTATCTTTGCTTCACTTTATAAATCATGGGTATGTTCTATTGTTATGGAACAAATGCCTGCCTCCCCTAAAGTGGAGTCTTTGCAGAGCAAGGCTCTTACATCTCCAGGAGCTCTTTGCAGCCGTGCTTTGCTGCATGAGACTTAACGAGCTGCAGGTGCAGGACACCCAGCGTGGAAAGGCTGCCAACAGCCAGATCAGGACCCGTGATGCGTTGACCTCCCTTCGCCATCCTGTCCTCCGCACTGTTAGTCCCTGTGGAATAAATCCTGCCCTCTTCCCCTGCTGGCATTAATACCAGAAAAGGTTCAATTCAAATGGGTATCAAGTTGGTATATTTTTGGAGACACCAGTAGGGCTGTTTTCAGTGTCAGACCAACTGCCAGTATTGTGTTTGCATTTTATCTCTCACTGCTGTCTTATTCAGGTTTTTGTTTTGTTTTGTTTCATTTTTATGTTTTAGAGCTGCATGGGTGAGTACATCTATGGCATGCTGATCACACTTCTAGGCTGAGCGGAAGAATGATGAGCCAAAGCAGTGCTGACAGTCTGGGAAGCCAGGTCAAGTCCTGCAACCTGGAGCTTAATGGAGAGAAATGCCAAGTCCAGCACACGGGCCCAAACCAGTCACACAAGGACATCAAGGTAAGGGAGCCAGCCCGGAAGTCTGGGAGAGATTCTTGAGTTGCAGGAAACTGCGGCCTTGAGGTGGGGGATGGCTGCCAAGAAAGTGAAATCTGGGTGTGTCAGAGTGAGCAGCAAACAGCTCTCTTCTGGCAGCATGTGCTTGGGGGCCTGTGTTGCATTTTCTTCACTACACCTGACAAACAAGGATTGGGCTGGGGAGAAAGGTCAGGATGGCAGGACTGAAACAGGGTCTTGAAATGTCATATCAATCTCAGTGTGGGAGCCTACACACTCCAAGCTCAGATAAGCCATTATTTATTAAAACATGTTCCAACACAATTTACAGAAGCTCAACTAGCAATGGTTACATGGTAAAAACATGACTATCTCATAGAACACGATGTCTGGAGAAAGGCCACGCCAGGGTGAGCAGCAGTGGTTTAATGATACCCTCCAAGGCCCAGGCTCTTTCTAAATTTGTGTTCTGCATCCTTGGCATCATGAACGCTCATCCATAGGACTGTTACCTCATAGGATCAAGATGATTGCCATTGCTCTGGGCATCATGCTCTCATACAACCACTTTCAAGGTAAGGCGAAGTAAAAGGGACAGAGCTAATTGACTGTCCTTCTATCAGGAAGCAAAAGTATTCCCAAAAGTTCTTAGTACACTTCCTTTTATATTTCATTGGCTACATTATATCTCATGTCCATCCCTTTAGCTCTTTATTTTCAAAGACTAGACCTTATCCCAGGAACCAGGGAAGGGGTCTTCTTTCCTTGACTCTATTGCTGCCTACCCATAATGAAACAAAACTGGCATTCTCTTAGCCCAGAACAAGATGTGTGAGGAGTAGCAGTTGGAGTTGTATCTGCTAGTGGGCATAAGCTCACTCTTTAGACATGAAAAAAAGGTTTGTTTATGAGGCTCCAGAGGCAAAATTTAGGCGAACACTGTGCTAATTAGTAGAAGGTATGAGGAAGCCAATTTCTGGTAACTCTAGTGAGAGTTCACAATTTCTAAATAACTGTGATTATCCAGAAATAGACGGGGGTGCTTCAATGGAGATGCGAAGCAGAATGAGCATCCACCTGGTCGGGACAGTAAAGGGGATTTTTGTACCAGTGGGGGTTGAGAAAGGTGGGACAGAGAGCAGGCATTTATCCTGAACTCTGAGGTTCCTTCCAACCCTGAGAGCTTAGGATTCTAGTAATTACTTTTTCTTCTTTGAATGTTCATTCCATAATTATGCTAATTGGAGATAATATTTCTAAGTGGGATGTAATTTCAAGTTGAATGGTATTTTTTTATCTTGAGCATCATTGCACAAGATTCAGTTTGCCTTGGACTTGGGTCTATACTTTGTTTATAGCTATGACTTTTACAAGGACAAAGCAAGGAAGGACACACTCTTCCTTGAGTTACGGATGACATACCCATGGCCACTAACTGGCATCTTCAGCGCCAATTTCCGTGGCCCTGAGAATCTTGTTAGACTAAGCCGCACTGAGGCAGAGGACCAATGGGCAGAGGCACCCTCTTATAACTCAGAGTTTATGCTCAATAGGGTAGCAGCAACCTAACATGGGTCAGGGGGTCTAGGAGACAGGGTGAACTGCTCAATTTCCCTCTAAATGAGAGATTTCTAATGGGTTCTAGTGTTCATGGAAAACACGTTCTCCTGTCTACCGGCTCTGAAAGTTTCTTGGACAATACTCTCAATGTCTTTGCTGTCACTTAGTAGAAAGAAGGAAAGGCCTCCAAATAGATACTCTTGGGCCACTCCCTTTCTTCTCCTCTTTCTTACTGCTACTACCTGGCATAACCCAACCATCCAGTTGATATTAGAAGACCCTCCCTGGTCTCATACTTCGTCATTGCTGGAAAGACCATGAACATTCATTCATCTGACCCATAAGATTCTCTCCTCAAGGAACTTGGAATTGGGACGTGGAAAAGCTAGCCAGTTTCTTGTAGATGTCTGATCATATGAATAGGTCTGATTGCCACTTTTTGCCATGGGCTCAGAGAAGCCTAAAGAAGACGTACAGAGTCTGTGTGGCCAGAGAGAGAGGCAGAGACCTTGTCTGCTGCATCTAGACACACTACCCATCCCTGGGCCAGATTTTCCTGAGGCTCCAGGGCACTTCCTTACCTCCTATTCTGTGCCACACCTCAGAGTCCACCCTGTAATTCTGTTCTCATTTCGTTTAAGTTGGTTTGCCTGGGCTTTTGTTGCTTACAGGGACCTAAGAGAGATTCCATCTTTAGGACAGCCTGACAGGAAGCTAATAAAAAAATTTAAAAGAACTTTACTGTTTTTTCCACATACAAAATTATAAATGTTCTTTGCAAAGAAAAATATAAATAAACATATGTCTTAGAATATGACGAGTCCCACGGTGACCCCTGTTACGGTGATTGCTCTCAGTAGTTTGGGGGTGAGAGTGAGGCGTGAGCATGAATGGGCCAAGCCGGGCTTACTGGGCTCCTGCCACGGGCTCCACGTTGTAAGCATTTCATCTGGATGAATCCCTTTACTCTTTACAGTGAGGCGAGGACTTAGGACTAGCACTACCCTCATTCTGGAGATGAGGAATCTTGGACATACAGGAGTTACAGGGAGAGGCAGGATTTGAATCCAGATGATCGGGCTCTGAGCCTGAAGTCTTAACCACAGACTCTCATTTTATTACTGCTGCTGTTTTTGTTATTTGTTGCTGTGTAACAGATTACCACAAGCTTAGGGACTTAACTATACACATCTATTGTATTAGACACACATTTTCTATGGGTGAGGGGTCTGGGCATGGCTCAGTTGGGTCTTTTGCCTCAAGGCATCTTGAGTTCATAATCAAAGCTCCGAAAGGCTAGGAATCATCTGAGACTTGACTGAGAAAGGATTCCCCTCCAAGCTCATGTGATTGATGGCAGGATTTGGTTTCTCGTAGGCTCTTGTTTCTAAGGACCTCAGTTCTTTATGACTGTTGGCTCGAGGGCTTCCTCTGTTCCTTACTAAGGGGGCCACTTCACCGGGCAGCTATCAACACAGATCTGGCTTCATCAAACCAGTTTCAGAAAGA